TGAACCTGATGTTCATACCTCTCCACACTCATGCGTTTGAAACAAACTTGGTAAAAGTTCACATGAACCACGAGTATCCTAACGTTTCTATCGGGTGCGAAAGGAATAATTGGGCATAACAGAGGAGCTTGATCGACACATTCGGGCCTATGTGTATCATGAGGTGGGACCTCTGAACTCTGCACTAGTTTAAATAAACACTGAGATGCCAATGTTCTCGAACACGCAGCATTTGACCGTTGTCGTACGTCGTTATGGGTGGTATGTTTTTCTCGGTATTTAGAAGTTTCATAATACTTTATGCTTTTAGCTCTTTTACTTACAAAACCTACGATAATATCGACATTTTTCTATGGCTATCTGCGCCAACATTTGTTGTTGTTGTTTTAGTACAGGAAGAGCAGCTAGCGCGTAGGGCGACGACTGTCCATCCAAAAGAAACTTTCAAAACGTAGCACAAACAAATGCAGCTAAAGCGCGATGAAAATACAATTAGTGTAACAGAGAGAGATGTGCGTGGTCAACATTTTGATCAAATGACCTTAATCGGGACTCGACAATACATCTGGTAATTAATTTGTTGAACACCTTGAATTCCATTCAAGTGAATTATGAGGTACTGCAAAACATGTTTTAATTCTACAATGAAGTTTCATTTAACCTCTTTTAGCTGACACTGTATTCTAGTAAGATAAATAGCCTCTTACCACTTAAGATGAATGATAATAGTGACAGACAACAATAGCTAGAAGCTCCAGAAATGTAAGATAACTCCACCTTCACCATAATTCGCGTGTTTTTAAGACACCGGATGTACCAAGTACAAAGTTCGATAGCCTTATCTCTGTTATTTATTTATTTATTTTTTATTCTGCAAGATAAAATGGCGGCACAGAACAAACTGCTTGCTTATCTATATAAATAATACGTTTGCGTTTGTCTGTCCGGAACTCTTCTCACAAATTTCTCGATCAAACAAATCTCGTATCGTTAGAAAGGGCTGTGTCGGAGAAGTCTGGATTACATGTTGACTTTACAATTCAAATCACCTTACCTGTTTTTAACTTTTTAATAAAACGAGTATGGTACAATGTCGTTGTCATCACGTGACGAATGGCTTCGATTTCAGGTTTAGTTGAAGATTTAAACCACGTGTAATTTCCTAAAAAAAATACATTACACTAAATACAATTTCTATGGACTTTCTCGACTTATTCGGGTCAAAAATACGCATGCGTAATTCGTTCAAATCCACCTGCTTAACACTTTCTGAACATGCATTTAGACGTTTCTGTATATTCAGTTAAGTTTGCCTTCATTACAACTTTACTTTCCAATAATTTAGCTTCGGTTCGTTTCACAGACTGCTATAATAAACATGTTTTAGCTACTTTTTTCTTTGCTTTTATTCTTTGTTTTTGTGAGTTTTTTGTTCCGACTCGTAAAACTGTGTTATACACTGAACGTTCATAATTATTTCATACTCTGTCTACTATAAAAAAAAACAAAAACATTACTTTAATTTACGTGTAGTTTTATTAAATAAAGTTACGTCTACGTGAGTTTGTTTGTCTGGCCACGTATTTTTTTCAATAGACCAGAATTTATCAATCTAACGCATAATGCCTGCAATAAAGCGTAGCTTAAATGGCGTGCGTGAAAATGATAGAATAAGGAAAATTTAAGTGAAGGGCATTAAAACATGTAAATGTTTTGAGTGTCGCAGCTAGTTGTATATTATTCTTCGTGAATTTTAAGACAAACAATGCTGTTAAATGTTTAAAGATATAAAGTTTTCCAATATACTTCGGACGAAAATTAATATTATGAAATCAGTTATTGTCACAATAAAATATTTTTATTCAATTGAGGAAAATACTTCTTCGCGGACGTTGGATAGTTCAATACATCAGATATTCTAAATAGTTTGATGTTAATAACAACCATAAACCTAATTCTGGTGTGTAGTAACTTGAAATAAATTGATAAAGAAATAAGGTTCTCTAATTTAATCATGTTCACAGTAAAATAATCGTTGTTTGAGCAACTGATGATATAAACAGCGTCTCAGTCACCAGAGCGTCTCATATCTGATGAGCCCTGGTAGTGAGAAAAGACATGGTGGGCACTGGATGTAGCAGATCGAGTGTGATTGAAATATTACACATTCTTATAATAATTAATGTGAAATTTAGTAAAGAGCATTTCAATTAACTCTATTCACAAGCCACCACATTTTACAAAGTACCATTCAACATAGTACCAGGCAATCGATATCAACTGTTGATTTTACAATACATTTGGGGACAGTTTCTGGTAGAGTAAATACCAGATATACAGGGATACTTAAAAAACTATAGATGAGGTTCTAGAGGCTATATAAATACATTATGCAGTCTGTATGATTGAAAAAAATATCTTTATTTTTCACATGAGCATCACCTTGCATTCCAACTTCTCAGTGTAAGAGCCAGACTGATGTCATCAGTTCAGACATATCTTGTGCAGATGAACATGTAAATTCATAAATATAGTCAATATTCCTTCTTCAATATGGGGTTAGGTCCAATGAATCAAATACATGCACATTGGGTTAAGGCTTCACACTCAACAGACGATACTGCTTACATGAAAAGTGGTACATCACATCATGAAATAATGACACATCTGTGCCAGTATTACCAAAGTAAAGCCATACAAAAAAGAAAACCAGAAGCAAAGCTTTTTTTTACTCAAAATAAGAATGACATTTCTCACAGTCAATTACCACTACAATCATGAAATCTACAAATCCTCCCACAACACTTTTGGAAAAAGTCATCCTGCCCCCTATAAGCTAGAGTATTTCACTTTTACCTATTTTGAAAATTTCCCCCACATATCTTGTCATCAAATTGCTCCCCCACTCATGAGACATCCAAGACTCATCTCAAAAGGAAATTCACACTTAAACGATCTTTATGAAACACCGAAAAGTGGAATTTAACAAGTAATCTTCAACATGGTTTTAAAAAACCTTGCTAACTTGAAATGTGTTTATAAGGTCCCTACTTTTGTTTTTGATGGGGACTTCCTGTTTGATACCTACAAAAGAACAAGTTGACAAAAACCCATTCATCCAAAGTCACACAGCACCCACAAAAATAGAAAAAAAAGGAAAACTTTAAAAACATAGTTCTTCATATCCATGTATTAGTCCAAAAAGCTTTGAAAGAACTCAAACTAACATCATGTACTGGATGATGTCCACATTATCAGGCAAACCATTCCCCCATGTTTAAAGCTCTTAGCAGAGAGAGAGAGAGACTGAGGGATGTATTACAGGTAATTGATTAATGATACTAAAGTGGGTAGAAAATTAGATTGATGACAAATAGGATTTTTCTAATTTAAAAAAAAAGGTTAGTAATATGGTACCTAAAGTGATTGGGATAACTGCTTGAGTAGTGAAATCAGTATGATGCTTCTAAAATACTTAATAAATCATGATGTAGATATGGGGCTCTGGCTCTAGATATGGGGCATAAGCTTCTCCTCCAAAGTGTTAGGTTTATACTAGTTACAACATTTTAATCAAAATACATCGCACACATAATTTTTAAGAATTATAAATATATTTCAATTTATATGAAGAATTGCATATTTTTCCAAATTTATTTATCTACAGTATACATGATTTTAAATTTATCTATTTAAAGTTTTTAGAATTATGTCACCATCACCACTACTATTTTATAGATAGTCCCACGTAAGGCTGAAGATGTAAAAAACATTTCTCAATCAAAAGAATCCAGGCAATTACAGTAAGTGGAAAAAGATCCTCAAATATATATATATGTTTCAATATTTTAAAGAATAAAGTGGTTCACATTGGGTTGTGCTTAGAAAGGATGTTAGCTAATGATAGAATTCGAGAGCAATTATTCAAACCTTTGCCCAAATGTTGATGAAAATCCAGTAACGGGTTCTTGGATCTGTATTTACTGGGACTTAGAATTCATAGATACAATTTTACATCTTCCTGTGGTTAAGTTTTGGTTTCCATGCTATAAGAAAGTTACTGAAACAAATATACAGAGAAGAATACCAGAAATGTGCTTGTTTTGAAAATTACAAGCACTGTAGAAAGCCTACAAATGTTGACATGTTTTATCTAAGTTCTAAAACAGAATTGATTTCATTCTGGGAAATGAAAGTGTTGTGGTTTAGATAAACTAACCATGAAAGTCTGTTTTAAATATGGAATAATAATATTGAAATCAAAGTCTGTGATATTCTGTTTAAAAATGATATATCTAAAAGTCTATATCTATACTTGATCTTAGGTAAAACCTTTTTTGTTTTGGTTGTTAAAGTCAAATCTTCTGATGGTATTCTATTTGAATGTTTCTGTGACAGGTTTCATTTAGATGGGAATAAGATATAGGGTGGTTGTTTGAAGATCCCACCATGGGAGACCTTGGTGAACTGATGTCTTTAATGATATGTTCTGGGATTCTAAGGTCCCCCCCCCAAAAAAAATATAACACATACACTCCAATTTGTACAATTCTCTTTTTTGTCCTCCTGGTGAGATTAGCCCTTTATTAAGCCCTTCTGCAAGAAAGGGCTTAGAGTCTCCTTAGATAAAAGAAACTGATGGCATAAAAGGGTTAAAATGGGACCATATTAAGGATACTTTTCTCATTTGAAATAGGAAGTTTGATTAGAGAAACTTGCATGCACCCAGTAAAAACTGTAGTAAGGTGATCAAGAACTCACATCTACAGCAACTATACTCCTGCTCCGAGTGCTCCAAACCTTACCCTCTGTCTTTAATTAACGTGACTGTCTTTTTTTGACAAATTATCAAGTCTCATCACAACGACTTCTCTTTTTCGATATTTTCTAAGCTTGAACGTTCCAAAAATTTTAAAATAACATTTGACTTTGATATTTATTTAAATTATCATAAGAATGTGTTTCAACTCAAACATTTACCTTCAACGTTTTTCACTTACCCTTCTCTGGTGTAAAACCCAAAAGATGCGGGAAGAGATGGGATCTGGGTGCACATCACACGACGAAGTTGTGAAGCTGATATACTACTCAAGTTTTCGTCCAAAATTACCGCTCCAAGGTTCAGCTGCCTGACTTCAGACGTGCATGAAAAACTTTTCGACAAACTTCGTTTTTCTACCAGATTTACTCCAGATACAATTTTTTCATTGTCGGTACACATGTTTATCACAGTATCACAAACAACTTCATTTGTAGTATTAGTAGTACCACTATTTACCACTCGGCTACCGTTAGTATTACAGTGATTAGTTATTGTGTGTCCCGCAATAGGCATGCTTCACAACGATTGATTGTTGGACCTAGATCTTGCGCAGCTACAAGATGGAAACTGGTCCTCAGAGCTTGAAGTGTGTCTTAAAAAATAACTAGATAAAATTTTAAATAATATGAGCAATAGTGCAGTCATTTAAAATTAGGATTTCTAGAACTGTCTGACGCTGTTTCTATACTAATACTAATAACAAAATTACACAGGCAGTCGTATGACGCGCTTCATCGGAACACGATGATCGAGTAAGACCCCCAGAGTCACCTATCGAGCTTCGTGTGTATAACTTTAGACGGAATTAATTTATATTGCAACAATAAGTGTCATAATATTGAAGGAAACGTTCACAAAATCTCATTCGTTCATTTTACTAAAAATAAGAAATAAAAGAGGCCAAAATGATAAGTGCTAAATACCACCATTAAATCCTGTTTATTTAAATAATATCTATACGCTTTATTTAGTTTGGATATTTACTACGAATTTTGAAAATCAGTAAAGCAACGTGTTTTGTTTTCAGTCATACTAACGGCAACATCTCGATTGTCATTGGATTTACCTATTATCACATATTAGGAAAATAATGAAACTAATATTAAAACATAACATCAGTAGTTACCTACATCTAAAAAAATACATAATAGATGATTTAAATTGGGAAAAAATAAAATTATATGTAAAGAGAAATTTTAAGAAGTAACAAAACTAGAACTGGTTTTTGACACAATGTGATCTAAATGATCCTGGATAATTTTAATTATTCGGGTAGAAAAAATTACCCTAATATTTGAATCGATTAACTGGTTTATATTTGCATTATTCAAAGATAAAGCTGATAGGGTACACTCAATTATCATTATCTGGTCAGCGAGATGGGAACCTTGTGATATTCAAAACCAAATTATCAAACACTCTACTTGTTCCAAATGAAATAAGAGTAGACTGACGTGAGTCTCTCGTGAAAACTTGACAGAAAAATAGTAGATTTGTAAACTTTCAACGACTACTCAAAATTCATCTGAAAATTGTAAGACGACACTGGGTTTACGGACTAAAAATAAAACGGTGATTATTCTGGTCATAACACAGTAATCACCTTAAAATAAGTGCTATACTATGTAACCTGTAAGATCTTTATGTATTTCCTACAACATTTGATCCAAGCATTCCCATATTTTTTTTTCGGTAAAATAAAATGTTATACCAATATATTTTTAATAAAATTTTCACCATCAAAAATGGGTTGGTGAAAGAATTATACCAGAAGACAGCGCTTCGTCGTTATAACCTTTTAGCGTTATGAATCACACGAACTGAATTCACGATGTTTTATTCGCTGTTCTAAGGCTCATAAAACTAACTAATTTTCAATAAAGAATTTTCCATTTTATTAAAAGAAATAATAAATTTTATGAAATTGCAAGATGTTCTATATAAAAAAGATTAACCTCACTGATGATTTTACAAATAAATATCACCACCTTTAATGAAATACTTTGGTAATAATTTACATATATATTCATGATTTCATTAAATATTATTTACTAATACTAGTTAGTACAGAGGACAAAGATATATTTCAGTCTTATGTAAGAAAAACATTGTTCAGGTGTGTTTATAAAGATTCCATTTTAAAAAGTTATTTCACAAAAATAGCGAAACAATATGCTACAAATTGAATAAAAAAATACCATGAAAAAGTTTGTAGCTCAATTTCAAATGTTTTAATTTTAATGATTTATGAGTAAAATCAACTCCTAACAAGTTTATCGTATGAAGAGAGGTACAAAAGTACGTGGTCTGCCACATATTCCGTTACAGCGAAATTAATTCTTGGAAATGCTTCCATCGTTGTGTCGCCCAATGTGGACACCAGTGACGTTAAAATAAAGTAGAAACCCAAGATTAAAGATGGTAAAGCCAATCTCTCCAAAACCGCACCCTTAGCTTGCGTAATTGAATTCACGATTTCGTTATAACTGACGCAGGATATATTTCTCACGATACAGTATGTTACACAATGAAAAACGTTCTTATTCTAATTTAAAAAAATAAACGTCCCGAATTGAGATTTATCTTCTGCTTTTTTTTTTATCCTATTCCCTCACGTTTTCTGAGTATCATGAGTCCTTCTAATTGTAAAGTTTTATAAACTTTACTCTGTGACTGAAGTGGATATTCAAACAAGTTCAACTTAAAAGCGATGTTGCGAACCAAACGAGGTTATAATCCTAAAAGTAGCGCAGTGACCAAGGTTTCGCAGAACTTGTATTGTAAGTTGTAATCAACCTGTAAGGGTTTACTGGGGGTGTGTGAGATTTTGTTACATTTTTTGTACATTTTACTTCATTTTCCTGATTAAATTTATAGTTTTACATCAACCAATTTCAAACATTCGTTGCATTGTAAATTTCTTATCAGTTCTGTAACCTACGTGCTTAAAACTAAAAGTTAAATTTAAAATGATTTATAAAACAAGTAATTACAATTAAAATGAAATGCTAACTACAATATCTATTTTATTAACATAAATTTTATAATATGCAACATGCATATGTATAATTTAATAGCTGGAAGCCGTGAAACCTGTATGTAATTTTATTTTTGAATACTAGTACTAGGCCTATACTGTAGGCTATAGTTAAGTACAGATCTAAGCGGCTTTCGGATAGATCTAATGTTGTAACTTACACGATGAAATTTAAAATAGTAACAATAATATATTAATGACTTGACACTTACCTCTTGCTGGTAAATTCTGTAAGAGTGTCATTCTGCAATAGTTTTAAGATACTTACAATTTACAAATTATTATTTGTGAACGCGCGACACCGGAAGCGTTTTCTTTTTCACAGCATCATGCGAGTCTACCGTAAAGTATTAACACATTCAGATAGGGCACAAAAATTAGAACACGGCGCCGCTGTTTCTGTAACCGATTCCCACACTTCTATATCCGAAATTAGGTTTCGGTGGTCACTCTCTAATTTGACTTTTATCCTAAACAATATAAACTAATCAAACACTCACTGCCCATATATAGTTGAGATAATTCGATTAAATTATCGATCAGTGTTTTTTACCAATTCCTGGAAATCTTTGTGTTCACCTCGGATTCATCGCCCAAATATAAAACAATAATTTAATAAAAAAAGCACCGTCAAGTTTTGTAAGAAGAAGATGTGTGTGTGTGTGTAAGACTTATTTAAAATACAACATTTGATGTTCTTTTACATATAAAGTTACAAAAGAAAATTGTTTACTACCCTTAAAATCCGCCCCCCCCGCCCCCCCCCAGTGGGGCAGCGGTATGTCTGCGGACTTACAACGCTAGAAACCGGATTTCGCTACCCGTGGTGGGCAGAGCACAGATGGCCCATTGTGTGGCTTTTTTATGCATAGCTTCAAACAAAATAAAAATAAAACCCTTAAAATTATATTTCATACCGTTCATAATTTGTATTAAATTGCTCAACACCCAATTAGACTGAGTAGTGTGCCTGGCTGTGATTTCCGAACATTCGTGGTTGGTGTCCTATTGTCGTAAAATCACGCTCCGTACTTTGGGTCCGTAGATATGTTATAAGAGTAACATCCAAATCTCACTATTCGATTAGAACAGCCCAAGAATTGGCGATGGGTGCTGTTGACTAGCTATGCTGTTGACTAGCTACCTTTCGTCTAGTCTTTCAGTTTAAATTTAGGGACTGCTAGCGTTATACTTCTGTGCGAATATCCGAAACAAACTGTTGTTTCAATATTTTAAGTATCATCATCCTTTTTAAATTCATTCTCTACAAATTATTTGTATGTATAAAGAATTTGATGTGAGCTTACTTAGTGATTTGAAAATTTATATTTCTAAACTTCCTCATTCTTCAGAACCTGAAGATATTGAAATAGTAAGCCTGTGCTTGGAATGGGTTTGACTAAACTCTCCTTTTTTTAATCTCGACAAATTAAAAACCTCAAGTAACACACATTTTAGTCTTTAAATCCTTTCCAGAAACGAAGGATTTAAAGTTTGTTTGTTTGTAATTAAGCACAAAGCTACACAATGGGCTACCTGAGCTCTGCCCACCACGGGTATCAAAACCCGGATTCTAGCGTTGTAAGTCCGCAGACATACCGCAGACCTTTCTGCTTGTTAATATCGTTGCTATGGGAGTGGAAGCAATGTTAAGGTTGCCCCACTAACTTTAAGTAGCTTTATTAATTTATTTAACATCTCTGTGTGGGTGTTTGTGGTTAAAAAAATCTCGTTAACTACAGAATATTGTTTACCTTTGATGAATACAATATTCCTCAGTAAATTTAGTACAACAATGGACTTATTTATATGAAAATAAAAGCTAGAGGTGTTTCTAGGATACAAACTTTCGATCAGAGTAAGCTATTTACTTAACGCGAAACTAAAAATCAGTCACGTTTGCAGTTAGGCACAAAGCCGCACAGTGCTCTGCCAACTACGAGTATCAAAATCCGGTTTCTAGCGCAGACAATTTACTTACTGATCAAGTATTATTTTATTACAAGTTACAGCTTTTACAGTAAGGAAGATTATTTTTTAGAAGAGATACAACGAATATCCATTTGCATACACATTATCACACATCTTATGGGTTTCCATTCCAAGCATGCCTTTTTTTTTTAGCCATTGAAATACCATTTATCAGGTTCTCAGCCACAAATTTAAATGTGCGACTAAACAATAAGGCATCATCAAAACAGACTATGCTTTTCTCAAACTGCAACCCCTTCAGTGTAAGTTTCACTAGGTTCTCAAAAGTGGCAGGTGCATTACACGGGGTAGTATGCTGTAAGTTAAATCACCGAAAACAACAAGGTGTTAATTACGTGTATATACAATGTTTTGGGCAATACTCTTCTACTTCACTACGGGTAATTTCTTACACAGGTCAAGCGACATAATGCAGAATTCATACAAGACATATCTCACGCTGAAAGTAGTACTAGATCTGGTTTCATGATCCACGTTGACTTGGCAGAATCCACATGCCAAATCTAAAGTGCCGAACCAACTGGAACCTTTGACCTCATCCAGGCACTCATCTGTTCATGACAAAGGTAAAGCACCAATAGAAGTTACCACAAAATGAACCTGAACATACCTTCTTACCTTCTGAGAATAACTACTGGCAAAGCGCTTCCTGAAGGTTGTACGATCCCGTCATTTAACATCTGCTGTATCTTGAAGTTAGTTACATCCTTAGTGCTTCAGGAAAGTCAGTTGTTTAATTAGACATAAGTCATGATGCTAAGTTACTATTGTACAATCAAATCAGCCAACCTTTACTACACATACGTCACTTAGTTGCTGCTTTCGGCTAGGTTGTTTGCACAGTTCTCAAGCAACGATCTCAGACGTGTACTCGTTCTAGGATGTGATGGATTACTTCAATTACTTCCCATTTGCTTACCATTCCACTTGAAAAGTGGATAATTACCAAAAAAAACACTGGGCTTCATCTCCCCTTGGACAAATAACTCCTTGAGCTAATAATGTTTGTATTTTAGATAGGAAATAACTCATTTTAAACAGGGGCTCTGTAACTCCACTATCCGATGTTTGTTTTGTAATGAAGCACAAAGCTATACAATGGGCTGTCTGTGCTCTGCCCACCACGGATATCGAAACCCGGATTCTAGCGTTGTAAGTCCGCAGACATACCACTAGTGCCACGTGGGGCTGTTAAGTGGGAGCTGCACATAGATATACCGCCCCCCCCCCAGTGGCACAGCGGTATATCTGCGGACTTACAACGCTAGAATCCGGGTTTCGATATCCATGGTGGGCGGAGCACAGATAGCCTATTGTATAGCTTTGTGCTTAATTACAAATAAACTATAAACTTTACAGATATAACCGGTGTATTTGAGAATGTTTTCACCAGCGATCGAAGCGTCGTACCTGTCCGAACACAAATAATTCTTCAAAACCTTCAGTAAAAGCTGTAACTTATAAAAGTACTCATCATGAGTAAGTAAACTTAAACGAAACTAGGAAACGTAGTGGCGTTGATGTCGAGAATCTAGGCCTCGTGGACAGTGATAAGTTTCTTTAGTTTTAGTCATTAACTTGTGCACAACTAGCAATAGACCGAATGTTAGAGTATTAATACTGATCTCTTTCTATATGTATAAGTAAATATAATATAGAGATTAGTTGGACCACAGAGCTCAGTGAGTAGGAGTTAGTTTTATAGCAAAAGGTATTTATGTTTATATTAGAATAGCTTATTACTAGATGTACTTCCGCAGGGTCCCCGAAAATGTTCTGTTTCAAGAATAAATAAAACCGAAATTAAGAGTAACAAATATTTTTATTTCTTGCTTTTGAAATTCATATGTCATGCTGTGCTGTAGCCTACAGAGTGCATAATTCTTCTCATGAGTCAGGGCATGTGCATGTTTTACTGATGTAATGACAGTACAAATTGCAAGGTTAATCGTCCCTTATGTGACGTCATTATAGTGTCTGCTGACTGACAGATAACACACGACTGAAGAGTAATACGAGTGGTTAAAACAAGTGATCCTTCCATGCGGCCTTCGACCTCCCTTAATAAATTAAAATTATATTTACATATATTTTAATATTCTTAATTTTGTTATTAATACATATTTTGCTATTTCATTTTAAGTAACATTATTTTAAAATTATTAATTTAATAATTTATAATATTCTTAGTTTGTTATCAATACATATTTTGCTATTTCATTTTAAGTAACATTATTTTAAAATTATTAATTTCTAATATTATTATCTGTTTATTTATTATTTTTATATTTTGTTTCTAGTTTTTATTTTTGAGCATTCGAGAAAATATACCGTATAAACTTTCAACAAAAGCTTTGTTTTCTCAGGTATAATAATTTGTTACCCAACATGTTTCGACTTTTTTAGCCATGAAGACATTATAATATGACGGTCAATCCCGCTTTTCGTTGGTAAAAGAGTAGGTCAAGAGTTGGCGGTGGATGGTGTTGACTAGCTTCCTTCACCCTAGTCTATCACTGCTAAATTAGGGACGGATAGCCCGCAGATAGCCCGCGGGTTGCTTTGTGCGAAATCCCAAATACAAACAAACAAATGAAATATAATAATTTCATGTTATTTGAAAGTAAAGTTCTTACAAGGTCGTAGTTTGTTTGTTTTTGAATTTTCGCGCAAAGCTACACGAGGGCTATCTGCGCTAGCCGTCCCTAATTTAGCGGTGTAAGACTAGAGGGAAGGCAGCTAGTCATCACCACCCACCGCCTACTCTTGGGCTACTCTTTTACCAACGAATAGTGGGATTGACCGTCACATTATAACGCCCCCACGGCTGAAAGGGCGAACATGTTTGGTGGGACGGGGACTCGAACCCGCGACCCTCAGATTGCGAATTGAGCTCCCTAACCACCTGGCCATGCCAGGCCTACAAGGTCGTAGACAAATAGACGAACCCCGTACAGAATTTACCAACAATGTGATGAATTTTTTGTATTCTTTCTCTTTTTAACCACACGATGTTCTGGAGGATTTGCATGCAGGGAGGAAAACAGCCACGATGTCATTAAATCAAATTTGTGGCAGGAATTTAGGTTTAAAATTTTTTCACGTCTCAGAATTAGTTTCTGGGGCCTGAAAGACAACCCAGGGTGGCTAGAAACTGTTGTTTCTCTTCACCCAATTTTGTTTTTGTACACAAGTCTTTATACTTGATATTAGTGTGTCCGTGCAAAAACACACACACACACACACACACACAAAAAACCTGATACGAAAATAAGTTCCTAGTCACATGTGATTTGTTGTAGTATACTTATTGATAACTTATAAATGGTTCGCTTTTGGCAAGTGGTTCCAATATTGTTTTCAGTTTTGATTTATTGCACACACCCCTCTCCCTGTTTTAGGGGTGGATACTTTATAAAAGGGAGACTCAAGTATCACCAATGACAGGGATCACATAAACTGCTGTCAATTTCCGTTACTATTTCAAACTCTTTGTGCATTCTTACGTAACCAATTCTTAGAAATGATATAATAATATGCACAACACAGGAGCTTCTGGGGACTTTGCTCCCAGGACCCCATGGGGCGCTTTTATTTATTTTTTGTTGTTCCTTCAAGAGGCGAGATGGCTTCCAGACCCCCCCCCCCTGTCTGTTAATGAAATTTTGCCCTACAATGGACCCCCGTATTTAAAAAAAACCAAAAAAACCCGAAGATACGTCCAAAGGAAGCACCTCAAAACATTCCCTGCAAATATAAAAAATACAATATTTTTCTCATCCTTGCATCGTTTTTTAAGAGGGAAATTATTACGTCTCCAGAACTCTCGGGACTGGATCTAGTGACTAGCGGAATATGTTGAGAATTAAAAGATCAAAGGTTCAAACCGTGATATGCATCTGAATACGCCCTGCGCTTTTAGCTGTGATAGCGTGATAGAAGTAACAAGTAATCCATTTATTCTTTTAAGACTAGACACTACAGACGACGAGTGCAGCAGACTGGCTTCCCTCTTCTGGTCAGCAGTTGTAAACAAGTAATGACTATTTAAACTTTAAGAATCCCTGTTCTTGTCGCATATCCCATATGCCGCTTTTGTGTCTTCGTTCAGGTTGAAAATATCAACACCAAGTAACTTTCCTGTTGATATCAGTTTTTACCTGAGAATACCACGTACAGTAGAATTTGATCATAATTACTAAAAAAAATATACTCTTGTGTCATTGGAGAATTTTTTAATGTTTTATGTTAAAGAAGAAAAAATGACAAAATATTAAACATTTCTAGTTTTTCAACAGCGACATTAATTTAACATTGCAGATGTCAATATAAACAGAAGGTTTAATTTATTTTTAAAGCTAAGAAGACCCAACAATATTCAAATTTATTGTGGAAAATAAATTTTGTTTAGTATGTTAAGTCATAGTCCGAATTAAGTCCTAACACTTACAAATATTATTATTTACATATCACAGGATGTTGACAAACATCATTTACAGCAACAGAAATAATTAAATCTTTTATATGTTCAAGTTTTCAATAATAAAATGTATGTAAGTTTACATATGTCATTATTAACATTAACCTTAATTCACTCTTTTTTTTACTAAGTTTGTAGATTAATATCTTGTTTAAGACATATTATTATTATTATTATATATTTTTCTCATTCAGCATCACCTTTTATACGAGATTGCACCTTGGTCCTTGTCGAATGTAGGTCAGAAAACATGCGTTAAGGAGACTGGCGTGTTTTTGTTTATTTTAAGACTACAGTTTGTAAAAGTGAGTGCGTGTTAAATTATAAATACAAATTGAAATCTGGAATACTGATTTTTTAAAGTCGTTACAAAGGTAATATGAGATCTTATGAATTATTCTGTTTTTGACGTCAAATATATAGTCATATGGCCAGTTTGAACATTGTCTACGACGTTAGGGACATCACGAAGTCAGTTGCCACGCCACTAATACCAATAATCTGATATTTGTGTATTGCAGTATCTTATAATTGTTGAGTTTCTATTAAGTTGTTAACGTAATTTTTCGAAATATTATTAGTTAGTCACAATAGTACAATAAAAATGTCAATTTTTGACTTAGCACTAAGGAGATTAGTTTTTCACTGTAATTTGCACGTACCATAATTTAGTTATAAGTATAACTTATGGCATATGGATAACATTTGCTTGTCAACATAACTTAATTTCTTAAGATTGTAAACATTAAAGTACACCAAGCGTTGGTGGCTGTCAAAAATTATTGAGTTTTAATAATATAGCAATTGTAATGCTTGTTGCGATGGTGATGCAGACTTGAGGTCAAAAGTAAGTCATTTATCTTAACTTAGTAAGACTAAGAATGGAAGCAAAAGGAAGGAGAGTTGTAGATTATGTTTTGAAGTAAAAGAAGTGTTTGAAACAGGTATATACAAGTTAATTCTATAAGACCATTAGTTGGACAACTTGTCCAAAAACTACTTTAGCTTCTAATGGACTCCAGGGTTATTTAAAATACTGTGAATTTTATTCAAAATGGACAAAAAATTTAGTACTACTTTGAAATAGGCTGCTACAGATTTACAGAGTCACTCTAAACTAATTGATGTATTATTTTGAGTGGATTGTTAACATGTACCTTTATTAAGACTCAATTGGTACATCATGTTTGGCAATTTTTGCACAATTTTTTTTATTGAATCCTTGTTTGATATCTTAACAAATGTGACTCTTCTAATCAAAGCACACTGAAATGGCCATATCTCATTTAATCTGGTTCTTGTCATAATAACATTAATGGGCTGATACTTAACTGTCATCAGAATATTCCCTAGGTTATAGCTTGTTTTGTTGGACATTAAAACATTGAAGCTGAGTCTTGTATATTGGAAATTTGAAACAAATTATTTTACGTACTGAACATTTCCAAAATATCAAACGTAAAATTACCACCTGTCAACGTGATAAATTTTGCATCACCTACTTTTCTTTTAGACAGATATGTTGCATGTGATGCCCCACTTTTCAAATGCCCCCAGTTGCTCAATGGTAAGTTCGAAAGCTTATAATGCTAAAAACTGGGTTTCAATGTCTCTGGTGGGTGCAGGAAATCACTATATTATTTTATATGTTAATAAACATTATTGTTTTGCTGTAATACGTATACTTGCCTACTGTCTTACTCTGTAGTTAAACTAATATACCATATTAATTTATCTCAGATGTCAAGCTGCTGTAAGTTTATACTGTTTGAACTGTTTAATTGGCTTTCATTAGTCACTAGATGTTATATTAACTTTTTATATACTGGTGTAAAATGTTTCAAAAGATAATTATTGTGTGTTCCATAATCAAGTTTTATTCTCTGTAATGTTGCTTTCATTAACTGTATTGGTTAGAAAGTTTATATATATATACACACACACAAATATACATTTAAGAAATTTTTAAGTTGTTTTTTTGTTATTATATATTTTTTATAAAAGAGTTATTTTGAATTTTTAGCTTAGTATATGGACTTAGGACTATTCTAAGTCTCTTAACCTGGCTGGACCTCGTGAGATAACATTGTGATTATAGCCTAAAATATTGATAACAGCAATGGTACTCAAGGGATGAAATAACACATTCTAATTTTTACAAGTATGAATGTAAGAACATTAGTGGGTTGATTTTTAATTCTGATCCATATAGCTATCATGCTTTGATTGGAAGTTAATATTAATAGGTTAACACTTCACTTGAAGTGTTCACATTTCTGTTGTTCTTTTTTGCTACGTTCTAAAACTCACACTTTTACTCTTCTGTACAGCTATTTAATTTTTCGTGTGATCTGCCACAAAGTTCTTCCACCAGTCTGTTCAAGTGATTTTGTGTGCAACAATCTCCTGTTTCCATTGTGATAAAGAAATTGTGTGTCTATTTATGTCAAATTCTGACATAAGCCAGCATTCCCCAAAGTGTGGGGTGCCACCCCCTAATGGAGCACAAATGATTTATTAGAGGGGGCACAAGCAATTACGATGTAGTCAATAGTGCACTAATGCAAAATTAAGAATTTTAATATATTTTTTATCAGTGAAAATAAGTAATTACAACAACACATACAGAATTTGAATGTGTATCTGTGTGTTATATCTTGTCACTTAACTCACTCTTTCACTCATTTTAAAAAGAGTGGGGTGCACAAGAAAACGTATTTATTAAAGGGTGGTGTAAAGGAAAAAGTTTGGGAAATGTTGTCATGAGTGATAGATATTAACATATTTATGGATAAGATGATAAGACATAGATCATTAGATGAATTCTTTACAGATCAAGATAGTTAAGCTTGTGTATGTATCAGTTAACAGTTGTTTTATTCCTGTTTTCTCGTGTTAAGAGGTTTATTGTATTTTTGTTATTGTTAAAATGCTTGAAAAAGATATTCCTAAAACCATCAGGATGATGGGAAATCATCTGGTCTATTAGGGTTATCCTAGTGACAAAAACAAACTAGTGTTAACTTAAAAAACAAAAACAAACTAGTGCTCTATTACAGCTTCTTTTTAATTGGATTTAATTTGCTACTTTTCTTGCTGTGTTTTCCTCTCTTACCTGTTTCTAGGTTTTTTATGTAATTTATTCTGGTATGGCATGTAGTTGGTTATGGTTGATGTTATTCTGGTTCAGCATGTAGTCAGTTGTGGTTGATGTTATTCTGGTGTGACATGTAGTCAGTTGTGGTTGATGTTATTCTGGTGTGACATGTAGTCAGTTGTGGTTGATGTTATTC